CATAAATATGGAATATGCAGGGTGTTAAGAAAAAAAAAAAAACTAATTTCAGCATTTATATGGCAGAGAGTACACAGAGAGTATACTAAAAAAAAATCTTAGGGAACATATATAAGTCAAAAGTTCAATCGTTTCTGAGATATAAATATTTTTGTATGTTAGCATGATTGAATTATTGACTACTTCTACGTATCGCAACATGAGAGGAAGATAATCTATCTGAATCTTCTATCTAAATCTATCTAAATCTTGATATTTATAGAAGATTCCAGATGTCCTCCTTCCATTTTCATTTATTTTGTTTGGATCTTCTTATAGAATCGCGAACTCGAAAATTCCAGGTCTCTATTGAATTATTTGACACTGGATTCGATCACGTAAGTCTTCTAAGTCATTTATCGGTGATAGAATACGCTATGCTTAGGTAAACATCGTATGCGACACGTAGAAGTCAATAAGTCAATCATAACTCAGTAAACAAAAACAAGATTAAAACGGATTGAAATATTTTCACACACATATAGAAACTTTTTTTGTATTCAATTGGATTAAATTGGATTGAATTTGGATTACATTGGATTGAAAAACTGCATTTCCCATCCAGAATTTTGAATTGAGCGATATCCACTTTTTAAAACTGAACTTATTTCTGGATTGAAAGGCATAAAAATATGTTTCATTCAATTCTTATAAATAAATACAAAAGTAATGGGATGATATGGATTGATATGGATTCATTTCAACATTCATGAATGCGTATTTTAATCTATTTTAATCCATTTTCGTTACCAAGAATATACAAAAATATTTATATCTCAGAAATGATTGAGCTTTCAACCCATGTTTACTAAGGTTTTTTTACTCAATGTGGTGTGTACTATCTACCTCTATCATATAAAGGCTAAATCGTTTTTCTTCAACATCCTGGTATAGATGTTCTCGTTATCATTACGTACCTCGTGTCGTATCATCGAGCGTGGAATGCCACGCACCGCGGCAAAGAACTCGAGGTGTTCACGTGGCGTCAGTAGATCGAAAAGGATGTCGTGTTGCGGACAAACTCCGGTCATGCTACGTATCGCCCGCATATCATTGGAGTCACGCACGTCGTAGCCGAATATTAGGGCGGTGCCGGATGTAGGTGCGGTCAAACCCGTGAGGATGTTGAAGAGGGTAGTCTTGCCAGCGCCATTATGGCCGAGGATGGCGGTGATCTGACCTTCGTAGATGGTTAGATTAATACCGTTCACCGCTTTGGTCTCCGGACGTCTACATTTGTGAAACGATTTATAGAGATCGGCTATCCTGATCGCTTCGCGACCCTTCATCTCGCGCACCACCGGCTCCACGTCGCGATTCGCTTCTTCGCCTGGGATAAATGAGTTTGATTCGCCATTCGACGACGGTACCTGCAAACAGTTCTGTGAAAACAACTGAAGACTATGACGCTCCCATAACTCCCATCAACAACTAGCGTCCTTATTATTATTAAGAAAAGAGTGAGAGACGAGAGACTAATAAACTTTTAGATACTTTAAAATATTTTTCAAAGTCTTTCGGACTTTGGATTTTACTTTGAAATGCTTGAAATACTTAGCCTGTATATCAATAGTTGTTTGTCTCGATAATATATCCAACATTTTTACAACAATTTTTTATTTAGAAAAATATATAAATTATTTAATATATATGTGTAGTATATTTGAAGAGGCTTTATGGCTTTTCATATTTTTGCTCTGTGAACTTGAAAACTCACTCTTTGGACTTTTTTCTGACACCAAAATCCGGGTAGGAAACAAAACCAAGGTGGCCTCTTTGTTCCATGTTCACCTAGAAGTTGATTTTTACATTAAATTTTATCCCAGAAATGCATATGCTAATTATTTCTAATATAATATAAATAATTATAATTCTTGCTAATTTTAAACAGGAATTAAATATTCTTGTGTTAAATAATTGTTGTACTACGAGAAATCCTGAAAATGTTAAAAAAGAAACTTACTTGGTATTACAGAGTCAAGATAATAGGCCAGATAGCCGTACAAAAAGATATCCAGGGTCATCATGATGAGACTGCCTCCAAAAGGTATTCCAGGTCCAGACCATAGATTGTCAAAATTCACTCCCTCACCCTGCAGATCTAGCACCAAAGCCTACATAACACAGTGCCAAGCTTTTTAAAATACATGATGCGTAGACGTTTATAAAACTAATTATAAAAACATTTATGAGATTGTTAAATTATTTATAAATATTAAGTAAAATCTTATAAACAAAATATATTATTTAAGCTATTGAGTATCTAACATTAAATAAATTTTTATGTCCTTTATGTATATTTAAATTAATTTTTATGTCCTTTAAAATATTATAAAAATCATATATTTCATAATCCTTAAAAGAAATTAAACACACATTAATATTATTATCATCAGTTTTTTCATAATTAATGTAAATCATCAGATTGAGATTTTGATAGGGTAAATTGTTATTACAAAATACTTTGAGACTTACCTTATCCATCGCCAAGGCGACTGCAGTTGGACTGATCAGAGAAACTAACCAATATATAACTGAACTAGAATCACTTATAAACACTTGAATGAAGTACATTAAGCTCAATATCGTAACAGCAAAATTTCCCAAGACACCAGCCGTCTAAAACAAGTAAAAAGACATTTTTTTCGCATAAGTTATAAAATCTTTTATTTTCGTTTAAGAGAATTACAAATAATCTCAATAGATACATAAAAAAAGATATACCACTAATTTTTATTGATTTAATAGTAATCGATGCATGTACAAACGTAGAAATTGTTATAAAAATAATGTTTCAAAAAAACAATTAAAACTCTTACATTTAAAAATATTAAGGGGTTAGTAAGAGCTATTAGTAAAGGCTCTTTAAAAAAAGTTACTTTCTTGAAATTTTTTTTAAATTAACTATACTGTTTCTAGAAAAATATTAATTAGTATATTGATTGATTAGGCTATTGATTAGGTAGATTTTAAAGATACTTTAAGAATTTTTGTATATGAAAATATAAATATATGTTGCGCAGCATTGTAAACCTTATGTACAAAAAAATATAATCTATTGGTGACGGAGAGAACTCAAGTTTCAATTATCAGAAAAATATTTGAAAATTTTTAAAAATTGTATTAGTGTACTTAAGCATAGTATTCTTATAGATACCTTTTCAAAATAATTTTTTTCACAAAATAATTTTTTTTAAAACTGTTTATTTTGTGAAATTATTTTTGAAACTTAATCGGTCAAAAATTGTTCCAGTTATAGACGCCGCCAGTTGAAAAGAAGTAATTTTGAGAAAAACGTATTTAAATTTTCTATATCAATTATTATCAAATTTACTAGTTTACCATAGTGAATCTATTTCTGTGACGAAACAAATATAATAAACTACATGATCGAAGGAATTTTGTAGTCTGAGTACATGGAGCTGAGCAAGAGTATTTAAAATTAGGGTTGTTTTAGAGCGATCGGCCATGTGCGCAAATTTTCACTATACTTATACAACTTGAGAAATATTTCGAATTTCATTAAAATGTTTGTGTGTAGGAGCATACTTCTAAGATTTTAATTTTTCGAAAAAGGTAAAAAATTCGATTTTTTGAAAATGTTATAATTTAACCTCCTTAAGAGATACGAATTAAAGTTATCAAGAATTACTTACACGCGATTTGTCGAAAAATGGCGTGATCATGAAGGCAAACATAATCACGGAGAAACTGTACAAAACTACCAAAAGAAATATCGGCAGGAAATGCGTGTGTTGAAACATTTGCAGAGTGAAGAGTAACACCACTCCGACGGCAGAGAGTAAAAACACAAAGATGCTGTAGATGATGAACCACGACAACCTGCAAGAAGAAAAGGAATGTATAACACAGCAAGAGAGTATCATTTAAGATGTACATAAAATTAGTTTTTTTTTTTCCCAGAATCATTTATCATAATCGATGTTCGACAGAATTTTTTGAAAGTTTACGATCTTACCAAAACACGGAGTCGTTTAAGCCCATCATCTTCATGCCCTCCTTGATCTTATTCTCTTTCTCGCCAACTATTAAAATCAGAAGATAGGTGATGAATTGCGAGAGTGCCAAGACCATGTAGAGCGGAATAACAACTCTGAAGGCCAACATCCAATCTAAGAAAAATATAATATAATCGTTAACACGTTACCACGGAAATCGGTGAATTCCAAAATTTTGGGTCAGATTGCTTACCAGCGGTGTATGCTTCCTTGGGAAACATTGTGAGTTTAATATCCGGTACTGTCACATCGACGGAATCTCCCATGTCCAACTGCAAAAAAAAAATAACATCAACATCAATTTCTGAACGCTATCTTTTAATTGGCAAATCAGATTTACATTCTTATTAAGCGGAAAGTATAATCGATAAGTAGTGAAATTGACAGATATAGATATTAAGCTTCGAAATAAAAAGAAAAGCTTACTTTTATCTTCGTAACGTCCATCATCATTTGTAAGGCCAAAAAGCCGGAATGCAAGTAATTATTGACGGGACAGGATTCGCCGGTTTTTATCGATAAGAGGTCACCCATCCAGTGACCCGTCTTGTTCTTTCGACAACTGATAGGAGCGGAATATAATTCGGTTGGCGAAGGTGGCAAAGTGTATGAAGGATTCGTCCGAATTTCATATCTAAGAAATACGAACGGTTTCCATGTATTATTAAAAAGCACTGACCTGAAATTTTTCTTGACTGTCGAATCAAAGTTAGAAAACATAAAGAACTACTCGTATGATTAATGATTCATTAATTTGCTATTACTACTTATCATTGTATGACAGATTCAGAAATTTATTTAAAAAGATTAATCCAAGAGAAAAGCTAAAAATTATGCTTGTAAAAATAATTTTTAATATCAAAACCTATGTTGTTATGGGTGTTTGTTGTAAAAATTTTTGATTCTTATTTCTAAAAAAAAAATATTGTAAATAATGTAAATGAGAAATAAAAATATTCTTTATTGTAAATAATATTTTCATACATTTCTTTACATGTATTTCTCTTTAAAAAATTGTGCCATCTTTTATTTTAAATTTGACAAGTTTAAAGTGATTAAAATGGTTAAAATAATGTAATGATATAAAAATGATCCTACATGAGACGCCGTGATATTGGCTGAGAGTCCTCGAAGATAACTGCTAGAGGTACGCTGTAAGGATCTCTCCAATATGCTGCTTGCAGATCGTCCTTCGTGTCGAATACCATGAAGTTTAAGGGAAGCTTACCGGGATAATCCCACATAGAGAGCCAGAGGCTGTTCATGGAGCTTAAGAAGCTCTAGAAAATATGTCGTTAATTTTATAGTACGCGAAATCTCGCAATATCCGGGAAGAAGAGATCATCTTTTAAAGCAATTTATATCGAAATAAAATTATATGCAATATTGTAAAAAATATGTACGACCAAAGAAATAGTATCTATAATATAATAATTAATAAATATTTAAAAAATGGAAAATTAAAATTATTAAAAAATATAAAAATTGAGATTTTTTTCGGATGCCAAAATTACATAAAAAAAAATAAGAGTTTTAAATATATATAGAAAAATCCATTTGCATTTAATAAAAAAAATGTTTTTAACGAAGGATAAAATCGACATTAATACAACAATTTTATCCATACACGTATAAATTCATATATTTTTTATAATAATTAAAAGCAAAAGCAATTTGTACTTCATTCAACACGCTCAGTTCGCGACGAATTAATACTCACGAGAGTTTCTGTAGAATTGGGCACTACAGCGATTGTGTTATTTTTGTAACCGTTGAATAATGCGAATATATTCCCTTCGTGCCTCTGCGTCGTCATCGCGGGAAAGTTTGGGTTTGGTATCATGACTTTCACTACAATCAAGGCCCCAAGGATGTAGAGGGGTAGAACGACCTCCTATGGGCAATCAAGTGGTGCTGATTTCAATTCAATTAAATTTATATATTTGTCTAGTATTGTATGATGTATCTCACGTATAGCAAGGATTTTATC